TTAAAAATGCTCAACAAACAATGAAGAAAGATACATTTTTAAGCACTGATTCGCATTATAATGTTGGCAGAAATGCTACAGCGTGCCAAAGTTTAATGATGGACAACCGTGGAAAAGTTGTTGGTGAAACAACTGTTATAAAAAAGAGCTCTGGAGGAGACTTTGAAGGCCCATCCAACATGATGGAAACAGAATGTACAAAGAGGATGATGTCAAATTTTGACTTTACAAATGTTTCCACAGTGGTTCATGACAATGACAATAAAACGAAAGCCATCATCCAGCAATATGCTCCGAATGCTAAAATTACACTTGATCCTCGTCATTGTGTACGTGCAGTTGGCAGAGCTTTCGAAAAGCTTGAAAATGGTGGATATAAAGAAGCAGCAGGAAAAGAAACTGTTAATCAACAGAAAGAAAGTGAATCACAGCCAGCATTCCCAATCAAATCTAAAGCAGAAGAGCCGAAGAAACGTGGAAGACCATTAAAACACCAAGAAAAAGTATTTCATCAGATATATTCGAAAGTTATTAAGTGGTTCACTTTTATTATCATGCTTCCAATTGAAACAACGAAAAAAATTTTCCTATGGAAGAATACATTAAATCATTTTATCGGAAGGCATGAAAATTGCCTTCACGAAAAAGACAAAGAATATCCTGTGTTTCAGCCACTTACAAAACCTGATTTAGCGAAGCAATTTCAACGTTTTACAGATGATGCCGCAAAGTTGATTCCAGAAATTGATCCTAATGCTCAAACACAACAAAATGAATCGATACATCACTCAATGCTTACTCAGTGTCCCAAAGGAAACAACGCAAAATCGTTTGAAATGCGTACGGCTGTTACAATTTTACAAAAAAACGAAGGAGAGAAATGCAAACAAGAAATATACAATCGTGTCAATAATTACCAAATATCTCCTTCAATCCGCGAACTCCAAAAACTTGAATATGAGAAAAATAAATCCAGAAATCAAAAGAAAGCTACACCAGAAACAAGAAAAGAGATCAACAAGGCAAGAAATGCAAAAAGATTTCCTAAGGATAACCCTACAGGTGATTACAGAGGAGGAAAGTGGACCCCACAAGATATCTAATTTTCAAATTTGAAATAAACACATATTTTCTTTGTATTTGAAAATATTTTTATATTATAAGATTTTTGAACCTATAAGTAGCATGACAAAAATTATATAATTTGCTCCTTTTTTATTTTAGTATACAAATATCCCATTTGTTATATGTTCGGTATATATATGATGATATTGTAATCAATTATGCTTAATGAAGCTTTATCCCGTGAACCCCTCATATTATTGGAAAATAAATAGCGAAAACATGTAGAGCTGCTATGTTCTCAAGTGTATGCTGATTTTTGGATTATTTCATGAAAACTAATGGCGGGATATCTTGCATTATTTAAAAAAATTGAACTATGCAAAAATAAATAGTATTATATTTTTTCTCATGAAATGCTATTATGAGACAACCATAAAAAACCATATGTTGTATTTTTATAATTTGATTGATTTTTTTTTACTATTTCATTAATCTTTTATGAATAATAATTATTTTTAATATATGTGCTATTAAAATTTCAAATTTTGACTAATATATCTAAGTTATCTGAACGAAACATTTAGAAAATATCATACTTACATTGAAATAGCAAGTAGAGCATATTAATAGCAAGTTTCTTGGCTTTATATCTATCATCTATTGTTGTTTGATCAAACAAAATTCACTCTATTATATGGTGTCAATTAATTAAAACAATTTTTAATAGTTATTTATTTAGTGCGAATAAATGCAAACTCATAAATGAATAACTTAATAGTAGAAATGAATTATCTGATATAAATCTCACATTTTGTCCATCAGAAATACTTTAATTGCATACGCATAACTATTAGTAATACGTCTGGAGTGTCAATTAATAACAATCCCACAACAAGTAAAATTCAGATTTTTATTAAACTTATTTTTTCCTAAAAGTTTTCTCAAATTACTATATATACATATGTGGATAAAATAATAGTAATATTGTAAAAAATTAGATAATTTTTTTTATTTGAGAACCTCTCAAAAGTTCATTCAATTTATCAATTGTTTCAGTTTGATGTATATTCATTTCTGGAGCCTAAAACTTTAGCAATCATGACAATATCATATTCTCTTTCTAACTACGCAATGTAAGGGTATCCTTAAGATCTGGTTAGTAAGGTAGTAATGAGAGTTAAGATCTGGTTAGTAAGGTAGTAATGAGAGTTAAGATCTGGTTAGTAAGGTAGTAATGAGAGTTAAGATCTGGTTAGTAAGGTAGTAATGAGAGTTAAGATCTGGTTAGTAAGGTAGTAATGAGAGTTAAGATCTGGTTAGTAAGGTAGTAATGAGAGTTAAGATCTGGTTAGTAAGGTAGTAATGAGAGTTAAGATCTGATGAGTAAGGTAGTAATGAGAGTTAAGATCTGGTTAGTAAGGTAGTAATGAGAGTTAAGATCTGGTTAGTAAGGTAGTAATGAGAGATCTGCAGGCAGTAATGATACATCTATGAGTACATAACTAAAACCTGAGTTCTATGAGCGAAATCTGAGAGCTAAAAGCCGAGAGATCTAAGGTAAGTAATGAGAGAAGAGAATTTGAAATTTTACAAAATACGTTTACTCATACAAAATAATTCGCATTCTTTTATAACGAATCTCAATGCCAATTAATACATAAAACAGATTTTAGCAATCAATTGCAAGATTTAGAAAGATTTTATTTATAATCTCAGCCAAATTAACAAATATTTTATTGATTTCGTCAAAAATAGCAATAAAACATAAAAATATGACATTCTATTTTTCCAAAAAAATTTCAAAAATCATTTTTTAACATGAAATTTATATTTTTTAATTTTTTTTTAATTTTTAATTTTTTTTTGAATTTTCAACCATGTCAAAAGTCGGGATCTACAAATGTATTCTCTTTGACATAGGATAAAAACATCCTTTCTTATAATTTCATTGTAAAATAAAATTTTCTTAAATTTATTGAATCCAAACTCAACTTTGCAACATTTTGTTATCATAAAAACTAAGAAACATCAGGTAAACTTCAATTTGGAGAGCTTAAAATCATATCTAAATTGAAAAATAAGGGGAAAAAATTGTAAAAAAAAATCTCATTAGATGGGGCAAAAAGTGACTTTTTTAATGTGTTTTTTTAAAAAATCGTGCCAGCTGGCCAAAAAAGGTGTGCCAGCAGGCGTGCCAGTTTGTACAACCCTACACCGGAGGCGCGGGCGGCGCTGCTGGCGCCAAAAAAGTAGCGCCCATCGTGCCATGTATATGATAAACATTTTACAAAACATGATTTCTTAAATTAAATGTAAACTATTTAAGGGTGCACCCGTATGTACGTTTATTTGAGAGGAGGAGGATTACCCTCTCAATTTTGAGGGATTCGTTAGTTTATTTTCTCGATGAATATGCAATAAAATTTGATTTTTACCTTATCAATATACTTCATATAATATACACATGTTCATATAAAAACTTTTTTCCAAAATCCTCAGGAATTAAGGGATTTTTGAATTTTAAGAATTTTTTTCGAATTTTTTCGAAAAAAAAAATATTTTCAGAACAGCCTTAACGGCTAAGATTTAGGAACAATGTTAAGTATCAAAAAGAAAGGAGGTCTGATATAGACAACATATATCGTTGAAGGTTGAAAAAATCTCTAATATTTGAGCCCAAAATTTCAAATTTTAATTTTTTGAAAAAAGAGGCCACCCGTATGTACGTTTATTTGAGAGGAGGAGGATTATATTTTTGAAAGGGTGAAACATTATGAATATGTTAATTATATAATAATATGTATTATTATAAAAAGAAAAAATAAAGCACGTTAAAATTTTCTTTCTTGATTTTTTACAAAATCTACTTAGAATTATGCAAAATATGACTAAATAATTATAAATTTCAAGTTAAATTTTAATTTTGATAAATAATTTAAATTTCAAAATATCAAGTTCAGTTCGACTATGTATGTAGTAATTCCTCAATAAAGTGCCAAAACCCTATTAAAATATATGAACATTTTCAACATTTTAATGTTTTTATTTAAAAATTTGATGGAATATGAGCTTCAAACAATTATTATGTAAATAAAAATAATTAAATATATGTATTTATTCGTATTACAACCGTAGTAAGTCGATTCTTCCTTTCTTCTACTGAGGTTTGAATTTGATTTCGAATTGTAAAGAGATTCAAAGGGAAAATACTAGCGGATAAAAACTACCTCCATGAAAGCGTCATAATGGAGTCAAGTTGTATTTTTTGATATTTTTTGCTTTTCGAGCCTAAATAGGTAGCCAAGATAATGCTTAAAAATAAGGTTCTAAATTCTGAAGTTTACATGATCCTCTCGTGTGCACCCTTAAATTTCCGAAAAAAGTTTTCGCATTCAATAATTCGAAGATTTTATTTAAAAACGCAACTAGCTTTCTATATATAATAGAAATCTCATAAAATATTGATAAGACTTGCAAGAAATTATAAATTTGGATTTTAGAGTCTATTTATTTCAATATAATTCAGCCATTTCAATATATAATTTCACCCATTAATAACTAAAGCATAGAAGGAAATAACCCTTGTAACAAATTTCGCAAGATTCATATGAAATGATAAAAATTCAATTTTACTTAAAATTATTACTATATTTAAAACATATTGATGTATTAGATATGTCATGCTTAACTAGACATTTGAAATTGAACAAATAATCAAATGTTTGTTGTAAAAAGTCATAATTGTTGAAATAATGCAAATACTATCTTAGATCATTCTATGAGGTTAATCTTGTTAAGTCTATTTTCTTAATCAAAGACTCCATAATTGTTGAAGAAGGAAAACAAGAAAAAAATTATGATTGAAAAATGCCTTTGGATAAATTTATATAAAATTACATTCAAAAGGACAATTTTTATGTAATAACAATTCAAAATTAAATAAATAATGTAAGCAAATCTTCATCAAAAGTACGAGCTTCGCTCTCAAAATCTAATGTAATGATATCTTTGGTATTGTTTGGAGGTGTAGTATCTTTGTTTAGCTTGAGTTTATCGGATTTTAAATTCTGAATAGTTTTTCCATGGCGTTTGAGGAGCCTGAACCTAGCTTTAATGGCAACATCTGACCGTCCTTCCATCATCTGTGAGATTTTGATCCATCTGCAACCCAATTTTTTAAATAGAGTCAGTAATTGTATGTCCTCATCAATTGTGAAAGGTTCGGATTTGAGATTAGGAGCTAAGTATTTTTCATAACGGTCTCTGCATTGACGTGCATTTTTCGTTTTGATTTTATCAGCTATAAGTTTCCAGTCTTTGCCATACTCTTGCACGAGATTTCTAAGCTCTGAATCGTCGCTCTCTGTGAATTTATTTTTTGTTGTGGTTAATAAGAGATCACCCATTCTTTACTGGCTTTCGTAATTGAAAAGTTTTCAATAAGTGATTCAAAATCACGGGTTCGGGTAAATTTTGGAATAGTAATGTAGATAATTATATTTATCAAGATTAATTTTTAAATGAATTCAAAAGTAATGGTGACAAAAAATAGTTAGTTTTATGGAAATATTTGAGCTTATAGTAAAACTAGCAAGTATTAATTCTTTATTGAATTGAGTCAATAAAATATTGAGAGAAATTTTAGCTAGACAAATTTATTTTAAATTGTTTCACAAATGTATAGTAGTTTAAATTAAACATCCTATAATCAACTTTCAAAAATTATCAAAATGTCAATAATATACCTGACTGATAATTTTTTTTAGGCAGTAAGACTGCTGATAGTCAAACTAATTTATATATTTTTGTGAAAATTGATTTATATTTTTCTGACAATAAATCTATCTAAGATATATCAAAATCTAAAGTAGGATTTATAATGATTGTGAACTTTATAAAGAATCAAATTCATTATAGGTTGATAGAATTTATTTATATTTTAAAAATTTTCGTTTGAAAAAATTATCACGTTGTTGTTAATGGATTTCTTAATTTATTTTGCTTTTGAAATTAATAATATGAGGAAAATTAATACCAATCCGATAACGGGTTAGATTCATTTTGAATATTTTTAAAATAAATTGAAAAGCTTGATTAAATAAATGGGAATTAGAATATTGATCCATTGATATGTGCTGATTTGAATTCATTACTCATTTTTTAAAAAAGAAGAAAATATTAAAAAAATAAAGATAAAGCGGGGAATTGGAGAAATAATTGATCATTCGTACATAATATGTAAATTGATAAAATGTTTTCTGAAATTTTGGCAATTAATTATTTTTATATTGGAAAGCCTCGATTTCGGTGGGAAATACATTAATTCAAGTGATAGTAGTTGGGTTCAACAAGAAAATACGCATCAGGGCAAAAATGGTGAATTGCGGCAAGTTAGATTATTAAGGAGAACGATGAAATTTTAATTCTCAAAAGTTTAATAACTATTCAATATTTGAAAGCGTGTATGGTCGATCATTAAATTTGATTATTTTAAATGATTAGTAATTGATGTATGGTATATCATATGAAATTTTTGAATTGACCTTAAGGACCGCGATTATGAAAAATGATCTAATAAATTTTGAGGAACTGAAAAAATAAATACGATAAGATATTCAAAATAAGATGGATTTACAATACAACAATACAAATTTAAAGAGATGCTGTTGTACAAGAGACTTTGTCGTCTTCGTTGCTTTGTTGTTCAACTTCGGCTGATGAAGTTGAAACTTCTGTTGAAGTCTTTTGTGATGTGCCGCGGATGATGATTGATGCGTTGCATGTCATCACGCGGTGGCCGTTGTCAACTTCACCAACACTGTCGCATACAATCTTGCCGCTCTTAGGATTGCGAATGCTCATGATATCACCAACAACATCGGCGTCGATGTTCTCTGAGTACTCGAATGACCAGTTTGTACCAACCATCTTGCAGTTGACGAGCTTCAAATTCTTGCAGTAGCAGAATGGCTGGACACCTTCGATTGTGCAGTTGATGAGTGTGACGTTGTTTGAGAACCATGCGAGGTACTCGCCGCGGAGGATGCTGTCGCGGACAACAACGTTGTCAGCATGCCAGAAGCAGTCTTTAGAAACAATGTCGCAGTTAGAGAGTTTGATGTTCTTAGCATACTGGAAGATGTACTTGCCGTTGGAAACCATGTTGTCGGCAACAATGTCACTGCCGTGCATAAGGAAGTAGTCGCATGTGAGCTTACTGTTCTTGATGTTGATGCCTTTGCTCTCCCAGCCGCACTCGTGCGAAACAATGGTGCTGTCCACAATGTCGATGTTCTCGCACTCACGCATGATCTTAATGCTGTTGATGTTGCAGTTCTCGAGGCGACCGTTCTTTGAGTACCACATTGGGGCGCGTGTCAACTCGTCCATCTTGACGTTAACAAGCTCGTAACCATCACAGTGCCAGAGTGGGTATCTGAGAGAGAAAGAACTGTCCTTAAGTAAGAAGTTGCGAGCCTCTTTAAGTGCACTCTCGCCATCTGCTGGACCTGCAAAGCGACAGTTGATGACTTTCGCGTCTGTAAGGTTGTAGAGAGCACGTTCTTCGTCGTATGTCTTGCCGTCGATGATTGTTGTTCTCTTTGATTCGTCTCTTGCGTTGAAGGATGACATATTCAGGATGATAAACTGAAAAATGAAGTAAAAATTTTTGCTTCAAAAATTCTTTCTCAAAAAATTTATATTTTTATAACCAAATCGCTTTAATAGTATAGTAATATGACTTATGCTAGCTTTATAAAACCTGGTAAATCGATGATTTAAAAATTTAAAACTATTCTCCGGCCAATCCTCAGCCTCAGAAAATTTGAAAAGAATGGGTTCATTCTATCGTTTACTTTCAATTAAATTTTTGATATTCTTATTATATTTGATAACTAATCTCATATTTTGTTTAGAAAAATTTTGTAACAAATTTTTAAACGCTGTGAATTCATATGGTATGATAATTGAATTTTAATAAGTTGTTAAGTGTGTATTATTCGATTAAATACCATTGCATTACGAAAATTGTACTTATTTTTCAGATAAGAGACAATTCAGATTACGAAAACTACGAAAACAAAATTTTTAAAAGTAAAAAGTATTCCATAAAATCAAAATCACAGTGGATGAAAAAGATATATTCATTGATGTGAATATTGAATGGATAAATTTTTTGAGAAAGAATTTTTGAAGCAAAAATTTTTACTTCATTTTTCAGTTTATCATCCTGAATATGTCATCCTTCAACGCAAGAGACGAATCAAAGAGAACAACAATCATCGACGGCAAGACATACGACGAAGAACGTGCTCTCTACAACCTTACAGACGCGAAAGTCATCAACTGTCGCTTTGCAGGTCCAGCAGATGGCGAGAGTGCACTTAAAGAGGCTCGCAACTTCTTACTTAAGGACAGTTCTTTCTCTCTCAGATACCCACTCTGGCACTGTGATGGTTACGAGCTTGTTAACGTCAAGATGGACGAGTTGACACGCGCCCCAATGTGGTACTCAAAGAACGGTCGCCTCGAGAACTGCAACATCAACAGCATTAAGATCATGCGTGAGTGCGAGAACATCGACATTGTGGACAGCACCATTGTTTCGCACGAGTGCGGCTGGGAGAGCAAAGGCATCAACATCAAGAACAGTAAGCTCACATGCGACTACTTCCTTATGCACGGCAGTGACATTGTTGCCGACAACATGGTTTCCAACGGCAAGTACATCTTCCAGTATGCTAAGAACATCAAACTCTCTAACTGCGACATTGTTTCTAAAGACTGCTTCTGGCATGCTGACAACGTTGTTGTCCGCGACAGCATCCTCCGCGGCGAGTACCTCGCATGGTTCTCAAACAACGTCACACTCATCAACTGCACAATCGAAGGTGTCCAGCCATTCTGCTACTGCAAGAATTTGAAGCTCGTCAACTGCAAGATGGTTGGTACAAACTGGTCATTCGAGTACTCAGAGAACATCGACGCCGATGTTGTTGGTGATATCATGAGCATTCGCAATCCTAAGAGCGGCAAGATTGTATGCGACAGTGTTGGTGAAGTTGACAACGGCCACCGCGTGATGACATGCAACGCATCAATCATCATCCGCGGCACATCACAAAAGACTTCAACAGAAGTTTCAACTTCATCAGCCGAAGTTGAACAACAAAGCAACGAAGACGACAAAGTCTCTTGTACAACAGCATCTCTTTAAATTTGTATTGTTGTATTGTAAATCCATCTTAATTCTTAAATTAATTAATTATTTAATTTTACGTTGAGGCTTTATTAATAGTGCAAATATAATCATTATGGAAATATTTATAATCATTTCATTGAATATAGACATACAAGTCAAAATTTATTTTGATTTTGAAAACTTCCGATTCCATTGTTTTTCCTCTATAACCTACTTGTACAAGATTAACATACTTTAAAAATCCATTAATGCATTAATTTGTTAAGAACAACATTTATTTCACTTTCATCGTTTGTAGTTAACTCATAAGCATTCATGATTGCAATTCTTGTAACTTTTTACAATCTCTCTGCATGAGAAACTATATGTTTATTGATCAATTATTAGATCCAAAATTTACTTATCCAACATTTTAAAATCGTTGATTGTAGTCAGATGCAGTTCCGTGTAAATTGCAACAATCACTGATCAAATCAAATTTATCCTACTTCTTAACTGCGAAATCAACAGAAAATATTTTCTGTTGAGGATAGCAATTTATTTACAAGCATTTTAATTCTCCTGGTAATGAATAGATGGAAAATGCTTAAATATCAACGGTTTATCAATGATCTCAAATTTTTGCGAACTTCAAAAATTGAATATTTGATATCAAATTATTATAAAGGTTTATCTTATATCTTCGGAAGTTTTATTTATAATTAGAAAACCTAAAAACAATAGGTTCCCATGGAAAATTGTTATCGTTTCTAAAATTTGAAAATAAAAATCAGTTGAATTTTGGTCGATATTATTATATTATATAGATTAAAATTTTCACGAAAAAATATCTTATTTTCTAACTGATATAATCCGTGATCGTTTTATACTTTTTGACATTTTGATATACATTTATTCTTGAGTAATATTTATTAAATTTAGCATCAAATCCCCTCATTCAAAAAGTGGGATCATGGCCAAATTATACACAACTTTTTAGATCAGCTTAATTTATCTGCTCCTTGTTCTCATTTATATTTTTAATCAATTTATCTGCTTACAACATCAAGCGATAATATTCAATTTTTTGAGATACATCGTAAAATTTTTATTCGATCATATATTTTTACTTCTATAATGATATTAACAAAATATAATCATCTAAATAAAAATTTCTGATTGAACCTTCTTTTGAAAAGCTAATCTTTCACAATTTTTTCAAAACCTTCAGTTATTTAATCCTCATGATGTTTCTTTTTACTGTCTTCTCTTTGAGCCATGAATATCATGGACATGGCCACTGCGGTGGAATGTTCGCTCGTGAAGATAATCCATTTATTCTAGTTAAGAATAGCCAAAGAAAAGAAATTTTATCAGAAAGGAAATTTGAGACTATGCGTTTAGTAATGGACTACCAATATATCAATGGAACTTCTGATGACTATAAGACTTGCCACAAGGTTGGCCAACAAATTTTCTGGGATGGAAATTTCACATGTTATGAAGAAGACATTATCACGGAAAAGAAGAGACAAACTCTCATCAAAACACTTGATAATGTCCAAAATTTCATTACCAGGCTTGTTCGCGTTAAACAGACCGTAGATTCATTCAAATTGTCCAATTTCAGTACATTAACGAACATATCAACTGAACAAGTTGTTAATAATACTGATCTGTACATGACCGTTGTTCTTCGTCCATTTGGAAAAACATCGAATACAATCGCTGCTGCTGGTGCTATCGCTTACGAAGAAGAAACATTTAGACCAATCCATGGCTTTATTTTCATCAACGCTGCGTCAATACCCGATACACCAAGTGATGAAAATTCTTGGAACAACAAGTACTTCTATGTTCTTCTTCATGAAATGTGCCATGTTCTTGGTATCACACCTACATTGTATGGCCATTACCACCCGATTGATTCGAATCAGCCCCATGAAAATATAACGTGCTCTCTCACAAAGTCTGGAAAGACTTTTAGATTCCTCATCACTCCACAGGCCCATCTCTTTGCCGTAAAGCACTTTGGCCAAGAATACTTCTACGGTGACAATGATACTAAGTGTTGGTCCGGTATTGAGCTCGAAGATGGAGGTTCCGCCGGTACAAAATTATCTCATCCAGAATCTCGTATCTATACATCAGAAATGATGGTTGGTGTCAGTCTTCAGACTGAGAATGGACCATTCAACAGAATTACAGACGTCACAGTTTCCATGTTACTCGATACAGGTAATTATGAGGTTGATTGGTCGCTCATTCAGCCAATTGTTTGGGGTAATAAGGATTCCATTGATGGTCACTTTATCCCAGACTTCGCTACAGGACCTCCACAGATCGCATTCCCATCTTATTACATTTATAATAAAACTTATGACACAAAAGTTGGTTTCAACTTCAAGTTCGTTGGCCATACCGGCGACATTGAAACCAGCGAGATCGAATGCTCCACAGGAAACGAGAAAGTGTCTCCATACTGTCAAGCATCCGAATTTTACAACGCACTTAAGTCTCCTAAGATCGGAGACATCCGGGTCTATGATTACATTGTTCTCAGGTACCCAGATACCATCTGCAAAGATGGTGAAGCTGTTCTCCCTGGAATGACTTCATGCGGTGCTTACTCTTGCGACGGTTTTGACAGCTATCAGATAGAATTACGTAAATCTAATAGCTACAACAAGCAGCTCCTCGCTACTTGCACCAAAGAAAACATTGGACAAAACTTCACATACAAAACAAACGAAAAGTGGGGAATTGAAAGCCACACTGTTTCATGTGTTGAACCAGAGCGTTTCTGCAGAACTGTTTCTCTCCATGAAATGCATTTCCAATCAAATCCAAACGATGATGACTTCGAATTACAGTTGAATACACGTAATGGATCTATCGCTGTTACACATGAAGGATTCAAATGGCCAACACCATACATAATTACTATTATCGCTCTTTGCGTTTTAATAGTTTTAGTTATTGTTGCTTTGGTCGTTGTTATCAATGTCTACCGTAAGACAAAAGAGCCTCAGGAAGATGCTCCCAACAAGGAGATCTGTGAAAGCTTGAACAAAGAAGTCATGTTCAAAATTTAGAAAAATTATTATATTTTTTTATATATGTTTATATTATATAGGGTGTCCAAAGGTGTGTTTAGCACAAACCTGAATACTGCGAATAGAAATAAACAAGTTACATATATATAAAGTTTATTTAAATATAATCACCATTGGATTCAATCACGCGTTCGCAGCGATCGATCCAGGCTTGAAAGACACGCTTTAAATCATCATGAGAAAATTGCTCAAATTGCTCTCTTACAAAATTTTCAAGATCATCTGGACTCGCGAATTCGCGTCCTTCAGCTCTCTTTTTTAGCGTGCCGAATAAATAAAAGTCAGAGGGTGCAATATCAGGTGAATAAATTGGGTTTGGAACAACTTTGACATTGTTTTCCAACAAGTAATTCATTACCTTATGACTTTTGTGAACTCTTGAATTATCAAAATGAATTGCAAACTTTTGTTTTTGTTGTTTGGATTTCTCAAACTCATCAGAATTGATAATTTGAGTAAGAACATTGTCAATTAGATACTGAGCATTCATCGTATTAGGTTTTTGAAGAATATCAATTGCGATGATGCCATTCACGCCCCAAAAAACCGACAACATCATCATTGGTGTGTCAATTTTTTTCTTCGGGAATGTTTGCGGATTTTCAGCCTTTGGGATCCACATGATTTTGGCTTCTGTTGCATATTGAAACCAAGACTCGTCCCCTGTTACTAAAAAGCGAAACTTCTTGGATTGATACGCACCCAATATAGAGAGGAGCTCTTTCGAAGATTGGACTCTAGATTTTTTTTGAACTGAATTAAGGTTGTGCGGAACCCAACGTGTATACGCTAGTTTGTAGTTCAAATAATTGTGCAGATAATAACTGACTGTTGTACGTGGTATCTTTGTCATCTCCTCTATCCTTCTGAGTGATGCTCTTGGGTCTTCATCTAGCGCTTGAAGAATTGCTTTGATTTTTCTTTGATCCGGCGATTTTTTGTCAATTTTTATGATGGGCGCCTTTTTGTTCATGAAGTGATACATCCTAACATGATACGTTACAGTGGAATAGCTAGGAGCATCCATACCGAAGCATTTTACCAATGTCTCGTAGATTTTTTTACAGTCTTTGCATTTTTTTGCAAGAGCGAGGATGTTTTCTTTATGATTCATTAAAAAAATAAAAAAAATCCCGCCAAAATTTCCCGCGAAACCGCCTCTTGTCTCAAAATTCATTTTATATCCCGGCATGGCGCCAAAATACAACATACTCATCATATACATATATTCATATTTTTTATTATATATTTATAATCAGCATATATCTCCTTTAATAGTCTCATATAGAGCGCTGTGCTAAACGCACCTTTGGACACCCTATATTATTAAACTCTATCCCTATCTATCCTTTAATTCTCAACTCTTTTTCTGATATAAAAATCCGTTTTCTATGGATTAATTATTGCTTTCATTCAATGAAAATATTCTTGTTATGTGTACTTGTCTATGTGTGTGCATATTGCTATAGACAGTTTTCGCTTAGGCTCTTTGAATAAGCATCAAAATTGTTTTTATTATTCATATGGTTTTTATTTGATATTATGATTCACCATTGAGACGGTGTACTGGTAAAGACCAAAAAATTAAAAAAAGACATATCAGCTGAATATGTTTTAAAGAATGAATCCTTCATATATAGTACAGCCACCAAATAATAACCCAAATGATATACAATTGCATCATCGCTAAAAATTGAATAACGATCAAATTGTTGAAGACAATCTTTAATTGAAGCAAAAAAAAAGATATATTATCAATCATATGAGATTTTCATCCTAGTAAAACATGAGTAAAAGCAAATGATATGGAGGAATGTACATTATTTTGGAATTATATAATTGATGTTTGTAGATGAAAGATATTTAGTAGAAGTTAAGGTGGAAAGAAAAATTTAATAATACACAAATCATTTATGAGACAAATATAAACCTTGATATAGATAACAAGGAGAAAGAAAGAATAAAAAAGAGGTCATAATATGTATTTGAACCTTGACGGATACTCCCACTAATGATAATTTAGGAGCTGTGAAAGATCGGATGGGTCAAAATTTGATGGAAGACAATGACTTTGTTGGAATTGAGAATTTTCATGCATTGAAAAATCACCCTTGAAGGAATGAAAATAGTGGATATGTGGATATATTAAAGTCCAATTCTCAGAAAACCAACAGATTAGAGCGGACCGATTCCTAGCGGCTAATCGATCAACCGCTATGTGAAGTTTGGAAGAAATAAGTCGTGCAAATTTTAGAAGCTCATCTACCTTAAACTTTCCGCCATATGTTGTTTCTAAAATTTCTGTGACATAATCTATTTTAACACCATTAGTCGAAATTCTACTAAGAATTGCTTGATGGTCGGCCGCATTCTTGATGGAATGTTGTGTGAATTTGCGTACTTTTCTAGTGGATAGCAAGTCGTGGATTATTTTGTTATTAATCATTTTTCTCAATCAGAAATGAATTGTAAAATATTTTTTTTCAAAGTTGAAATATTTAATATAAAGAATTTACGTAAATAATGTTTATAGCATAAATCAGCTTTACTTTATAGCAATAGGCTTTTACTGAAAAGTAAAATTGAATAAATTGTCTGAAATTTGGTCAATTAAAAAATGGAACATTCAAGTGCGTATCGAAATAATATGTAAAAATTGAAAGAAGGAATTCTGAATAATCAATTTTACATTAGTTAAGAAAACTAGCATAGAAAATTTTTCTTCGTTTCACTAGTGTTTGATATAGAATAGAGATAATAATTATTAAGAAATCAAAAAGTTTAAATGTTAAATTATTGAAAGGACAGCAATTCACAATTTTTAATCATATTAAAATAAAAATGTAATAGTAAAATTGGTGAAATTTATTTAGAAAAATATTATGATAAATTTTGAAAGCAAAAATTGTTATCGAAATAAAAGTTACTATTTGAAGTAGTTCTCTAAAAATATTGACAATTGAAATTAATTGAAAACGATTTCCATCTGTTCACAAAGTCTTATTCTTCTTTTTAATATCAAAATATGTCTCCGATATGCTATGAAATCCTGTTTCCCAAGGAAATTGTCTTTAATTTTTTGTTGAAATTTTGTTCATGAAAATTTCCGTATTTCAATTTTCAAATTTCTTTATTCAAAAAATAATATGATTCAATTATATTGTATTTAATCGAGAACGACCTAATATTGCAATATTCATTATCAATACTTCTGTGAGAATATCATACAGTAAAATTACGCTTTAAATATTGGTTGTCTATACAGAAATTGTTTAGTGATTAGATCAATATGTACAGATAGTGATATCATATCGTATACTGGTTGATTCATTTAAGTATTTAGTATTTGATTTTTTGATTAAATTATTCGTACGCGACCTATCATTTTCACTTTAAGCTTAAAAGATATTATTTAGAAGACGGGGTTTAGCAATTACAAAAACGTTAGCCAAATTTTAATGATGTTCTATGAAAATTTTGCAGGATTTTGGTGATCATGAAAAAATATAACGATTTGAGCGCATATCTCAAATAGAGATAATGAGTTGGTCTCAATACACGATTCACTAGACTTTCAATGTTTTGAATAATAAACAAAATACCCCCAAAATTTATAAGGTCGAGAATAAGAAACTTTTGTTGGCCGTAAAAAATGGAGGTCTTTTGAAAAAATAATACGTTGATAACGATTAAACTTACTAGAAAGCATTAGCATATTGATATTATATTGACACTCCCATTAACAGATTTGAGTGAAAGTTTTGTGAGTGAATATATAATTGAGGACAAAATTAGGAATTGTTAAAAATCATGTTCACTATTGAATTTGTAGCTCAATAAAAAAAAAAAAAAAAAAAAAAAAAAAAAAAAAGGAAGTGGGGCTTCCAGGCACTTCGTGCCTTCTAGCCCTGAGGATGATTGATATAATGAAGTTTTTTTTTTCTTGGGGTGGGCTTCCAGGCGCGTTGCGCCCTCTAGCCCACATAAATGAAGTTCTTATATACGGGTCTTCCAGGAGCTTTTCACAAATTATATATGTTTTCATGCTTTGTCAAGACTTCTTCGTAAATGTTTTGTCAAACTTCTTCGTAATGAGCGTAAATGACCAAAAATAATGTTTATGTTAGCATGTTAGATCTAACACGTTTTCTAACATGTTTTCTAACATCGTAGAAAACTCATGATTTCATCGTAAATGTTTTGTCAAGACTTCTTCGTAAATGTTTTGTCAAGACTTCTTCGTAAATGTTTTGTCAAGACTTCTTCGTAAATGTTTTGTCAAGACTTCTTCGTAAATGTTTTGTCAAACATGAACGTAAATGTTTTGTCAAGACTTCTTCGTAAATGTTTTGTCAAGACTTCTTCGTAATGAGCGTAAATGACCCAAAAATATAATTTAGGTGAAGAGGTGAGATGTCACCCGTTTTCTAACCTCTTTTCTAACCTCATGAATTTTCATGATTTCTTCGTAAATGTTTTGTCGAAACTTCTTCATCGTAAATGTTTTTAACTTCACTTAAAATGCCACGTAAGCTACGTAAGAATATACGTAAGAGGAAGGGAGCATTGAAACATCCAATAGTAAGACTAACACCACAACAACAGTTGCAACAACAAATGCTGAATGACCCCACTATGTTGCAACAAATGTCAAGCAACCCTATGCTTTTAAACCGAGTTATTGGTGCACAGAGTGGAGGTTTAAGAGCGGCACTTTTAGCGAAAATGGCAGGCTATGGTGGAGCTGCAGACGGAACAGCTTATAACCCTCAAAGTCAAATGAATTTGAGTTCACTCAAAAATCAAATAACAGATGTCAAAAAGTCAAACATAGACATACAGAAACAAATAAGTGAAAACGAAAAGAAACTAGAATATGACAGACACACAAAGAAACTCAATGAGTTAAACGTAGAGAAAAAGAAGAAAGAAGAACAACTGAAAGAACTAAGTACAGAGGAATATGCGAAAAAAGTGTCAGAAAAAGCAGCAGAAGTAGCAAAAATGGAACAAGATGTTATAAATTTGAAAAACCATACTACTCGATATAAAGTACTGAAAGATGAAGAGATAAAACAAAAAGCCCTGAAGACATATATGGATAGCGATGAGTATAAAAAAGAAGTTGAAGCAAATGTAAAGGCAGAAAAACTTTTACAGTTGCAAAACCAAACCGTACAGTATGAAAACTTAGCACAAGAAAGTAAAAATAACGACGCGGCTATGCAAAAGGCAATGAAAAGCGCAGAATATATAAAAGCTAATAATGACTGGTTAGATGCCCAAGCCAACGCTAAAGCAGCCCAACTTATAGGGTCAATAAGGACAAAAATACAAGCGGATGAAGACAGTTCAAATGAAGCTTTAACAAATGCTGACTTTAAGAACGCCTTCGAAGCTCTTCATAGTAAGGTGAAACTAGTGAACGACTTCTCATCTGGAAAGAAACTGAAGTCTGAAGGTTTCGACAACGAGTTAAGAGAAGTAGCACAAAATATGACGAAAATAACAGATGCAGCAACGAGACAGGCAGTTCAAAGTGCCTATGACGCCGTTAGAGCAACTGTTGTGGAAAGTCAAGAAAAAGAGTTACAACAGACCAAAACAGACCTAGTAAATGCTTTCTTAAGAACGAAAAGTCAGGTAGGACATTATGCTGCAGATGGAACATATGTGCCAGCTGGTGGAACTTATATACCACCAAACCCTCCAAGAGAAGCACCTGCACCAGGACTACCTAAAACATTTACATCGTCACATGGACACAGACACAGGCATGCACCAAAACCAACACAACAACCACCTCCACAACCAGCACAACAACCACCTCCACAACCAACAGTTCAAAACCCTGCACAAACAGAACAAGGAAACCAAGAATTCTTAAAAATGCTGAAGGAAGAGTGTGGTTTCCCAGATACTGTTGACTTTAGTGACAGATATAAAGAAGCTATTAGAAAGTTCAAGGATGGAAATACTGACCCGAACCTATTTAGCTTTATGACTCAGCACCAAATGGGATATAATTTCAAACCTGGAAAATACAAGCTCGCTAAGGGATATGATTTAATAGCATATCATCCAAATGACATGAACGAATTTACTCCGAGATATTTGATGTCAGAGCTAAATGACAATTCAACTTTCGTCATGAAACGCGTAAAAAATAGAGACGGAACGAAAGAACAAAAGCTTATGAATGCGGATGACGTAGATAGGGAAATTGTTAAAAACGGTCTCGGAATATATGAAATGCCAGCAGATGAGGTACAAGAAACTCCACAGGAAGAAATAGTTCAGATACAACCAGACATGGAAGAAATAGTTCAGCAACAACAGCTAGAAGAGCCTGAAGGAAACGAACAAGTCACTCCTTTGGAAACTAACTTCACAGAACTAGATGAAGATTTGGAACAGCCGAAAAATCTTGACCCTCAACAAGAGTATGCGGAGAATATGGAATATTTCCAAGAGTCTAAAAAAAATTCGGCTGACATAGTAGAAGAATATCGAAAAATGTTTGCCGACATACAAAAGACTCCAACACCAGATGAAAATATTCAGCATAGAATGGAAGAACTGAAAAAAAATGTACACAAATACAACAACCCTTTTTACTTACGAGCATTTAACGTTCAATCTTCGGATGAACTCGGTGAAGATAAAAGGTTAAATTTCAAGAAAACATATAGAAATGAAACATTGTTTAAAGTTCATTCAGAACCTAGCCAAGATGGAAACAAACCTACTTTTGTTTCTGCAGACGATGGAACTACAATGAGATGGGGTCATAAAGCTAACCCGGATAGGTGGTTCATAAACTTACAACCACAATTCCAAGAAGTTGTAGACGCAATGGAAGTCAATGGTGAACAAGATATAGCTGGTATTTTCAGCGCGGCTTTAATGCCATTGAAAGATATGAAACATGCAGATATTTTGAACCAGTATGAAATGAACATGGCTGATGGAAATATAACACCTGACGTTCTAGAACATTTATCTCAAAGAACTACACAGAACCATAGAGATGGTATATTTGGTGAAGAGTTTAGAAAGAAAGTTAGGGAGAGAGAAGGAAGAGAACCTATTGTACATGACCTTGCAAACGAAAGTTTGCAAAATGTCATAAAAACTTACTTTGCAGACAATGAACCGAGAAGGGATGAATATTTAAGAAAACTCAAATGGACAGTACCAAATGAAATGTTAGTATTGAAAAACATGTTCCTTGACAAAATAAAACCAACTACAGAAATAAACGACGCAAGACTGAAAGATTGGGTAAAAGCTTTCCCATTCACAAAAGATATTGTTGGTAACATGGAAAGAAAACCAGAATGGCTACAAAAACATATATTTGGAAACGAGCATATTCCATATGGACAGGCACTGTTTGAAGAGCTTGAACCAGAAACTCAGGAAAGAGTCATGCAAACAATACGCGAAGACTCAAATACAAACTATGACAAACTCTTTCTAGGATATAGGTTACCTGAGATGGGCGACCAGAGCCCAAAGGCAAAAAGGACATGGGAAATTTACAACATACTAGGTGAACATGAGGCAAAGATGCAACAACTTGAAGCAGAGGGCAAGTTACCAAAGAAGAAAAGAAAGTGGTGAAAGTAGTGAAGAACAAAGTGAAAGTAGTGGCAATGAAGGAAAAAGAAGAGTTAAAAACTCAGTCAGGAAGAAAGTAAAGCTTGGTACGAGTGGGTTCTATTATGATATATAAATCCAACTATTCTATATTTTTACCCATATGAAATGTACGCCGCTCAGAATATAACGCCAACAGTTTTGGATGCCATGAACGGAAATGTTTCCGAATGGTATAACGAATGCGACAATGCCATTAGAAGGTCAGAAATAGTTCCTGGAACTTACGAATATACAACTGCTGTTTCTTATGGAAACGTAGGTGAGTTTGGAGAAGGTTCTTCAACAACAGTAGATATTGCTTGCGACAGGTTTCATATTATTTCTATTGACAACTCATTCTTATACGTGGAACAAGACATTGAAATAAAACCTTCTGCCAAGTTGTCTGACAAGAAAGGTTGCAATGGAATTTTCTATGTCGGATACCAATATGCTCCAGAAGTTTTCATGGGATATAAGATATATTCTAACTCTGACTTAGTTCAAACAGTAACATGGGCAAACTATGAATGGTTCGCTTTGAGAAACTCAGTACAACCACAAGCTAGAGAACAAACAGACCAGTATGCAAATATTGAGAAAATAAGAAGACTTGACCCTAACGTTCCAGGAGTTTATGTTAACCTTTCTGGTTCAGATGGAACTGCTGCCACTAAAGTAAAACTGAAACTTAGAGTTCCTTTGTCATCTTTCCTCATCTTCAGGTTTTTAAGATACTTGCCAAACTGGGCAGGAAAAATTTCTATTGAACTTACTCCAAGCAAAAATAACTTAGTCATTGCACCAACACAAGACCCATTCACTCTTACAGACGTAAAGGGAGCAAATCAAACGTCATTCGCCGAATTTTGCAAAGACAAAGTTGACTTAGACTTTGGTTTCTCAAACCTCAACACTGAAGTAAACTATTATTTCAATGCTGCTGGAACTGCTTGGGACCCAGTTAAGTTCACATGCGAAAAATTTGAATGCAAGAGAATAGAAAGCAGACTTGCAGTCTATATGTTGGACCCAGATATTTCAAATGCTTTAGCTGCCAAATATATTGCAGTTCCACTTATGTTCCCTATACACCAAATATCTGTCAAAGACTTTGCAGGTGAAGTTGGAAACCAAAGTGCTGACCCAGGTGCAAGAACAGATATTGCCTTAACAACTGCAATGAAACATGCAGATACTATGTTTGTACTGTTCAGACGAACTATAAATGACTATTCTTGTTTCTACAACCCTGGTATTAAATATCATATAAACATAGATGGCAAATATTATCCAAGAGAAGAATATTCTACAGTTGAGGATATGAGGTCATACAACTTGACATTAGATGCTATGAACTTTAACAACAACTTCACAACAACCATTAACCCTGAAATGCAAAGTTCTATTATGCCATATGTGAAAGTATGGACCCATACAGGAGGTCAAAAAACTCAATATACAAATGGAGACCGTTCAAACTTTTGGCTTGGCATTCCATTTGCTGACTCAGAAGACTTTATGGGTGGTATTTCAACTGTTGGTACAGTTCAAATACAATATACTGGTGACAGAGACGGTCCAGATGAATTGAAAGCAAAGAAGTTTACAAAACCAATAGCACTTTTCACGGAAGATGCTCTTTTGAAGATTCGTTCGATGAAACCTGCTGGGGCTCCTCAGATTGGCATAACGACAGCTTCCATCGAGCAGATTTTGGCAGCAGGTCAGTAAGTTGTTCTTGAACTGACTTCTCTCCGTCAAATATTGACAGTACGCCAGTTTTGACATAAAATTGTATTATAAACTTACCTTTAGAAATATCTGTAAGTTTTGAAGTTATATTTTTGTCTGCTTCAAGAACTTTCACCATTTCAGTTATACCAACTTTCTTTGCTTTATGAAAATATTTAGGTTCAGCAAAGACTGCTATTCTATAACATTTTCCATTGTTTGTGTAAAGAACTATTCTGTCAATGTATTTGTATTGTTTGTGTGTGTAAACTTTGTTCTGCTTCAATTCGAAGAGATACTCGAATACGTCCATCTTTTTATTCTAAGTAAAATGTCATTTCCGAAAAATAGAAGCGTAAGTGTTTCAAAAGGTTTAATGGCGATGGCAGATGTGAAGTTAAATTCACCAACTCAAACAAACAGTCAAAGTGTTGTTGTCAATGTCAAAGACAGAGATGTTGAAGTGGGGAAACCATACGAAGACGAAGATGGTATAACAATAGTTCCTGTAAAAGAACAACCAACATACCCTGAAGTTAGCAGAGACTTAAGTTCTGTTGCAGATATTCGAAACGACTACCAACAACTGAAAGACAAACTTCAAACTCAGGAGAAGATTTGTCAAGCTTTAGGTATAATGTTAAACTTGGTCGAACACAACCCTGTAAAAGTGAACTCATATGTCATTGCACCTCATGAAGTTTTGAAAGAACTATTGAAACTTTTGACAGAGGCAGACGATATAAACATCAAAGAAATAGAACCCGACGTTAGTTGCTGTGGTGTTTCATATAATGTCATTGACAAGATATACGTTATGAAAGG